CTTTCCGCCTTGGTCCTCACTTCATAAGCCTAGATAAAGTGCTTACATTGCTACTTCCTGACTTTTCAGTTTCAGGCATTTTCTACTGATTTCTTCACTGTGGCAGAGAAGAATTGAACTTTCTCATATTCCCTTTAAAAAGTGCTTCATTTTGAAGCATATCGTGAATGCATGTACCTGAATAAAACCTTCTTGGTGTGTCAAGAAATGAATTTAACACTCTTGCCCACAATTCAGCTTCAGAACAAGAAACATTACCAAGAATCTTTCATGTGCCCCTCAAACGCATGCCATTTTCTTCCCCAGATAAAATCACTAAATTCATGCTATTAACTTCATGCATTACAATGTTTGTACGTATTCCTAAACAATATACTGTTTTGTGGACATACATAAGTGGAAACGTACACTATGCATTTTAACCGATTCCCTCCCGTCCTCCTTGCTTTCTTTCACTGGGATTAACCCAGGGCATCTCACATGCTAGGTAAGTGCTCTACCACTGAGCTACCCTCCAGGCCCTGACTCCTTTCACTTTACATTTTGAGGTTCATCCGTGTAGGTGCATGGTCCTGTGTTGATTTATTTCTTTGCTCTGCTGTTTACCATTGTATGATTACCCCTCTGCTTGTTTGTCCAGTCTTGTATTTATATTCTAATGCACAGGCACAAGAGTTTCTTCAGGGCATCTAGATAGGCGTAGAAGAGCTTTCGGATATAGTGGTGAAAGTACTTCCATTAGGTAAAGTGATTCCACCAACTTTTGGAAGTGATTTCACCAATTTAAAGGTCCACCAGGAGGGAACGAGAGGTCATATTGTCCCACATTTTTGCTAGCTCCTAGTATTAACTGATTTCTTCACTCCTGCTTATTTCTTAACTCCTGTAATTTAGTAATTTCATTGTGGTTTTAATTTTCTTTCCCTAACTGTGATTTTTTTGTATGATTACTGATTATTTGTGAGCCTTGTTCTGTGACATAGCATTTCATGTTTTTTGATGATTAAAAAAGTTGGTTCACAGATATTCTTTAAATATCCTGAGTATTAATTATTTACCAGTTTCATATGTTACAAATATATCCTCTTAGTTAGAGGTCTTAGTCAAAGGATCTTGTGCCCCAACTTCCCAAGTATCTGAGAGTACAAACATTCCCAACAATAAATTCTTGATTTTTATGTAGTTATTTTTTTTCCCCATCTTTCCCTTTATGGGAATTTTTGTGGGCATTTAATGTTTTAGTTTTGCTTTTATGTCTTGTTTAGAAAAACTATCCCTTATCATAATGTCATAAAGATATCCTCTATCTTGCCTTTTAACGGTTTTATAGTTTTTGCTTCTTTTTGGGAGTGAGGGACATCTGACTTAAATTCTTTCCCAGTTCATAGGGTTTTTTTCACACTGTTGGAGATTTCTTTTGACACGCAAAAACTTTTTAATAAGATGAGATTTCAATTGCTGTTTTTGGGAAGTAATTAATTCCTGTGTAGTTTGATTTTTGTTCATGAATTCTCTGCCTCTCCCTATGTCTCCAAGATTTGTACCTACCTTGTCTTCCAGTATATTTGGTGTTTATGTTTTAATATTTAGATCTTTGACCCATTTTGACTTTAGCTTAATGTATGGTGATAGGCATGGGTGTCATTTTAGTTTTTGGCATATGGAAAACCAGTTTTCCCAGCACTATTTATTAAAGAGGCTGTGTTTTATCCAATGAGCATGCTTGGCCTCTTTACTAAAGAAAAGGTGGCCGAGTGTGTTTGTAGTTGTGGCTGTATCTTCTAATCTATTCCATTGATTTTGGGTCTGTTTTTAATTCCAATATGATGCTGATTTTATCACAGTGGCTTTGTAGTATAATTTCAAGTCAGGGATTGTGATGCCCCCTATTTTGCTTTTGTTATCAGAATTGCCTTGGCCTCTTCTGGTTCCAGATGAATTTTAGGAGTGATTTCTCTAGATCTGTTAAGTATACTAATGAAATTTTGATTAGAATTGCATTGAATCTGTTAAAGTTCATTTTATTTGTGTTAATAAAGCTATTAGTTGCTTTCTTTCATTAGCATTTCCCTGGAATGTTTTTTTTCATCCTTGATTTTATTTTTCTTTGTTCTTATATTTTAAAAGTATCACTTTTGAATATATATAATTAGAATTTTGAAAATCTATTCTGGCCAGGGATATAGCTCAGCAGTACAAGCACCTACCTTACAAGCACAAGGTCATGAGTTCAATCCACAGTACCCGCCACCCCCAAAATCTATCCTGACTGTTTTCATCTTTTGCTGGAGAATTAAATTCATTTATATTTAGTATTTTTAGAAATGTATTTAAGTAATAATCTTCTTTAATGTCCTTTCAATTTGTTCTACTTTTTAAAACTCCTTTTTTGGAGGGGACAGTGAGGGTTATGGCTCAGTGGTAGAACATGTGCTTCTTTGGTTTAGTACTCATCATCAAAAATAAAAACAAAAAATTTAAAATTCCTTTTTCAAATCTTTCTTACCTTCTTTTGGTTTATTTTTTCCCCCTAGCTTCTCTTGTCATCTTTAACTTTTTCTCTTTGGAAGTTATGTGCTCTGTGCCCATTCTTTTGGCTGTTATTTAGTTGTTTAAACATGTATACTTACCAAGTCTAAAAAAAATTTATCAATACTTACCCTTTCTTCCAAAAATCCCAGGGCCTTAAAGTTCTCTAACATCAAATACCTGGTTTCAAATAATATGCTGTTGTCATCTAGGATTTAATCATTGGCATGTGATCCCAGGACAAGCATCTGAGAATTCCTTGCCTTAAATTAGGCTGACTGGTGTTTGAGGTCTGCATTTATGCTAACTATGCAGTCTAAAAATGATGAAACAACTAATTTAATGTAGAGGGGTCTCAAGGCAACTCAGAAAAATAAATACGTATCATCTCTGGAGGAATGGGACTTAGTCCAGGCCTTAAAAGATTTCCACAGATAAATGTTCAAAGAAAATGGTCAGTTCACAGACAAATGACAACCCCCCCCACAAGGCACTATAAGCGAGAACCAGCAGAAACAACCGGCAGCAGAAAAGACTTACAAAGACTTTGTAAGGTACTATATGACACAGAATAAAAGATAATTATGTTTCACAAATTTAAAGAAATAAACAAGAAGTTCTAAAATAGATACAAAATTTTGGTAATTTGGACTCAGAAAAGAATCAGATGGAACTTCTAAAAAGGGAAAAAATAAATACCATATTGTGTTGACTGTAAAACAGGATTGATTATAAGATGCACCACAATTTTATGTGCCATCAGAAACACTGCCACTTATTACAAGATGCCACCAGTCATATGATGCATCCTGATTTTCAAGGTGTGTGCAGGGAAAATTTGTTTCAGCATTGGTGCACTGTGGCAACTGAAAATTAAAATTTAGCAGATCAATGAAACTGCAGATTAAATTTGGTTGATAACAAATCAGTTAACTGGAATAAAGAAACAAATATTTGATACAAATAAGTGATCTAGAATGTAGCTCAGAGAGAAAATGAAATGGAAATATAAAAGAAAGGTTCAAAGTCTTGGAGGATTGCATGAGGAGGGCTAACATCTATCTAACCAAAAGTTCTAGAAGAGGGCAATGGAGACTACAAAAGAGGCAATGTTTAAAAATATAATGGCTGAGAAATTTTGAAAACAGTGGAAGAAGAGCAACACTCAAATACAGGAAACTAAATCATCCTCAAACTGGAAAGAACAAAGAAATGTATACCTACGTATATTATGGGGTATCTGAAGAATACATGACAGTAAAACTACAAAACATCAAAGGCAAAACAATCTTCAAAGCAAATGGGAATGGAAAAGAGCCCTTCCTACAGAACACAAAGTACACCAACTCATTAAACAACAAAAACTGGAAGCCGGAGACTGGGGGATAATGTCTTCAGTGTGCTGAGATAAAAACAATAACTTATACCCAGTAAAACTCTTTTAAGAGTGAGAGCGAAATGAAGACTTTTCAAATAAACAAAACCAGAGACTGACGTTCAAGGAAAGTCCCCCTCCTCGCCCCCGCACACACAAGGGAAGTTTTAAAGATAAGCTTCAAGCAGAAGGAAAATAATCCTAGATACACAGTACACACTTAGGAAGCAAATCCAGAACTCTGGCATTCTGAGAAAATCCTCAGGGGAAAGTTCGCTTAACTCTGAGGTATCTGTCAGCTTTTATGACTTTTGGGGAATTTGTAAACACTTGTTTTTGTGCCAAACCAATGGTACATTTTTGAAAAAAATTTTTTAAAATACCTTATCTAAATTTTAAAAATCCTGTACTTGGGTTATCATACGTTCTGCTATTTTGTAGGTGTCTAACCTGCCCAGCTGCAGGAGAAAGTCCCTCAACAAAATGTCTTTAGGGAAACCTTTCTCAATCCACATGGATGGCTTTCGCATGGCCCGTTCACACACATCAGCTCTTTTGGCACATACACTAGCTGTGTTTTCCCATCCACCTCTGTATTCTTTAATTGTCTACTTGCTATATTGGAAGTATCAAGGCCAGGGCTATGTTGTTCTCTATTTACTCTGAGATCTGTATAAGGCCCTGGCACATAGTAGGTGTTGAGTAGACATTTTTTGAGTAAATGATTAATGAGCAGTTAATTATGAGTGAAAAATCAATGTGAGCTATTGGATCAAATGCAGCTGTGTGTTTCTGCATCAAATTCAGTTATTGGAAGCAGTGATTTTAGGGCTGGTGAATTCCCTTTGAACTCTGCTGTCCAATGTGATAGCCATTTACCACATGTAGCTATTTAAATTTTAAATTAATTAAAATTAGATAACATTTAAAATTCAGTTCTTTGGTCACACTAGCCATGTGTCAGGCGCTTAGTGACCGCTGTACTGGACAGCCTGGGCATAGAATATTTCCATTATCACTGAAAGTTCCATTGAATGTGTGGCTATAGAATTCTTGAGAATTCCTAAAACCACTCCTCTCTCTGTTTTACCCTTGCTCTCATTCTTTTTCTTTTTCTCTCTCCCATTCCTAAACCAAGTACATGGATAGCTGTCTCATTGTTAATGACTTAAAATGATGCTTTTGAACAAGAAGATGCTGGGTGCTTTTGGTGACTAGTACCATCCCCACCCTTTTCTTTTCCGTTCCTAAGCTATTGTTTACCAGCACATTCTTTTATTCCTGTTGCTACTAAAGCAGTGTGTTTCTTGAGGGGAAAGCATAATTGCTTTGTTTTCTAGGTCCTTAAGCCCTTTGCTAATATTACTGTCTGTGAGTTCCTGAAGCCGGGTTCTAGGAGAGTTCAGCGTCTGAACAGCTGACCCATGAAATAATGGAGTAAGGCCGGAGAGGTGGGGAGCGAGTGGGGCGTCCTGTCAATAGGCGAGCTTCCCTCTCCCCACACATGGCTGGTTAATTGGCCCTTCTGGGGAGGGATTTGTGGGGAGGGGGCGTCTGAGAATCGCCAGTGACAGTTCAGTGGCCTTTTGTTGATGTCTTCTATGGAATAATTTTGTTGGATTTGTCTCTGCCTTTGCCCTACCTCCTGTGGATTTTCTGTTAGATTCATCATTTACCATTCAGGCATCATCTTCTGCTTTTTCCTTCCAATATGACAGCTTTGTGTGCTGCTTGATTCCCGCGATTCCCAGACTGTGAGGTGGGCTGTGTGGGGCTCCAGCAGGCCTGAGAAACAGACTCGGCTGTAGGTTGAGAACTATAATAATGACTTCAGTGGTTTTCAGGCCCAGCAGAAACATACTGCCTGTCCCTACAGAACAGTGACTCCCTAACGACAGAGATGTGGATCTTGGCCAAATTCCTTCTCATACAACACATATTTTCTCTCTTTCCCCCCCTTCTCTTCTTCTGTCTCTTTTCCTCTCTTTCCTGCCTCTCCACCCCTCCTCTCCTCTGGACTCTGTTCTCCTCCCCTTCTCCTGGCTATAGAAATGCAGCTGTGACCCTAATGTCTTTGAAATAATAATCTATTGTGTTTTCTAGGCTTTGCCAAGCCAGTTTGCCCAGGTTGTCTCATCTAATACCCGCCAAATCCTCAAGAGGTAAGGAGGAGAGGTGTTATTAACCTCATCTGACTGATGAATTAGTAGACTGAGATTTAGAGAAATTAGATCAGCAGCCCCAGATGTTTTAGGTGGGAGTTGAGCCCCCACTTCTCTGTCTCTGAGTCCAGCGGCCTTATAATGAAGTGCACACCCTTATGTGTCAGGAGGATGTGGCCTCGGGACATGTACATGGACAGGAAAGGAGAAGGTGCAAAGGAGCCAACTTTGTAGAAGAGGGAAGAAAAGAATGATTGTTTGGGGTCACTAGCTACTCCTCTGTTCCTGGAGATGGAGGATTTGAGGTTCATGATAAGGCAGGGCTAGCCAATGTCCCCACATCCCCACAGAAGAAAGAAAAGCCAAAGACCTTGTTGTGTTGCTCTTTCTCTCTTCCCTGTCTCCTTTGCAGGAGATTTGTCTAGGAATGGTAGGGTGTGGGGCTGGCCCGATTTTCCCAAGACCTGGCACATGGGAACCATATGCTGGGTGCAGCCCCCCCCCCCCCCCGACTGAGCCTAATGCCCTTCTCAGGCTGGAGCTGCCGGCCACTTTTAGGTGCTGCACTATCCTGAGGCCTGGGCCATGCCTGGGCGTGAGGAAAGCTCTGGAAGCTCATCTGCAGGAAGAAGCATGCAGGGCACCCCCAGACAAGGCCTGGGCCCCAGGCTACCCCATATGGGCAAGTGGACACTCCTGTTCTGTGGCTGTATCCTGGCAGCAGCTTGGGGCCAAATGAATTTCACAGGGTAAGTGGCTGCTCCTCAGCAAGAGGGAAGGCTGGTTCTTGGAACAAGGACACCCGAGTATTTCAATACCTCTGTGTGTGCAACTATTTTAATTGGAAGAAAGCAGAGAAGTTAGGACTTCTATCTCCATCCACAACCCACTTCTGGCTTCTTAGTGTCTCCCTCTTTTGCTCCATGCTGCTTGGTGGTATTATTGTGTCTTCCCAAATCTGAGGTCCAGAGATAAGTTCTCAGAGTTCTAAGAATCCCCCAAAATCATATGTAATAGTATATGTATTTCTTTGGCAGGTCATATTTTCCCTCAAGTTCTTAAAGAAATTAATAAACTCCCACAAGACTATGTACTCCTACCAAAAGCAATGTGGTATTGTCCTCCTTTGAGTAATGGGAAGTGCTAGTATGTATATATCTTAGACCCTTTGTGGACATGATTTGTGAGCCTCCCAAAGATCCCAGGGGGTAGATTCTCTGTAGTAGAGGAGACATAGCTCAAAGAGTGGGTTCATTACCAATGATCTCAGTCAAGAAGGGAACTAACACCACTCTGGGCATCAGTTGCTGGTGGACACACTGCAGGCTGGTTTTTGGCCTTATGTCCACCCAGCTGGAAGGGAAGGAGCTCAGTTCCCCTCACTAAATTGAGGTGGGGCTGTCTGATCTCCCCTTCCATGGCCTAGGCATTCCTGCATGAATAGCACGTGGGCTGCTGCTGGTCGCTGGTCCCTCCGGGCTCTGTATCTGTTCCTTTTGTTCTATGTGTGTGTGTAGAGGTCCACACACAGGCATGCCAGTCCTTGGTCTGTCTCAGACTTAGGTTCCCTGTCTCAGAGTTAGGTTCATCAGTACCAGTGACAGGTTTTACGTAGTCCCCTGGGTGGTCCGGCCTTGGGGCCAGGAAGACCCCTGGCTTTAGGCTGAAGAGCCCTGGTGCCCAGAGCTCCAGTCCTTCCTTCCAGGCCTCTTAGCCAGTCTCTTGTCCACTCTGACTCTTCTGAGTGACTCGGCCCACAGTACTGGCCGTTTCCACAGCTTTGTCTGCCTTCACTGTGTTTTTTCAGAGACCAGGTTCTTCGCATCCTGGCCAAGGATGAGAAGCAGCTGTCATTCCTCAGGGATCTGGAGATTTTGAAGCCCCAGAAGGTGAGGTCTGCTCAGGACCTGGGGACATCCCCCAAGTCTCCTGCACCTCGGCTCCCTGTCCTGCTCCCCTTACCCCAGACCTGCCCTCCTGATGTCTCTGTCAACACTCACAAAACTGCAGAAAAGTCAAATGTGACTCCCTTTGAGGAAAGCCTAGACACACTTGTCCACAAATTTGAGAGGCCTTTTTAGGCTGTGGCTTCTCTAGTTTCCCCCTCAATTCTGGATCAAAAATGGAGGGCTGCTGAATGGACCTGGAAATGGCTTGAACTTCCTAAAGTTGTGTAGGAGGCCCAAATGTCCCTGGTGGGATCCACATAGCACCAAGATTGGATGCATCTGCTTCCCTTTGGGATGGATCAGCTTGGGAAACCTGTGTTTCACTTGGGTTCATCCCTGCCAGTCCAAGCATTGTTTCTGAGAGCATTTGTACTTTACAAGTTTTTATAATGGAAAACATTCTGACAGTTGTAATAGAAGAGTTTTGTTTGAAGGCTGTTAAAGCAATTAGACATGGGTGCAGATGGTCCAAAGCCCCTACCTCTGAGTATCCCTACCAGGGAAGACATCACACCTTCTAGGTTTCTGCATTTTACAGATGAGAAACATGTAGGACACAGGGTCCAGCTTAGGCCTTTCCTGCTTCTCCAGTGGTTGGAAGTAACAATGCATCTTTCTTTCGACCTGGGCTCTTGTCGCAGATGTTGAATGGTCTCACTGTTAGGAATTGTTTTGGGGGTCTGCGGATCCAGGACGTGTACAAAGAGGGAGAGGCTAGGAGAGAGACAAAGAGGAGAAGGAAACTTGGTGACTTGGGAGTCTTATGTGTTTATTTACCCCTGTCTTTCTGTTCACTTTAGCATTTTCATTATGGAACTAGAGCCCTTTTAAGTAGAAAACAGGGAACCATTTGTCTCTCCAGGGTGCCTGCAGGAATGCCAAAGGACAGGCAATAAATACATCTGTTTTTCTTTCCTTTGTGAACAAGGTGGACTTCTGGCGGGGCCCAGCCAGACCCAGCCTTCCTGTGGACATGAGAATTCCTTTTGCTGAATTGGATGACATCAAAGGTTACCTGGAGTCTCATGGCCTTGCTTATACCGTTATGATTAAGAACGTCCAGGTGAGATCTCACCCTGGTCCCCAGGCAGGGCTCTCACCTTCCACATCCTTTCCTATTGGGACCCATCAGGGAGGAAAAACACTCCGGCTGAAAGTGCGTGCTTTGCTTCTGGGTCTCCATCTGTGTGTTTATGAACATGCCATGGAAAGAATTAGGTTGCAGATTTCTCAGAGAACATTTAAACCTAAGGACTGAGTTCATGAAGATGAAGAATACTCATGGTGGGGTGGTAGGATGCTGCAGTGCATCCTCTTGGGGAGGAATTTGCAGCAAAGAGCAAAGCAGAAGACAGGAAGGATGTGGAGGGGAGAAAATCACTAAGGCCTTTCCCAGGCACCTCGGATGGACTTGGCTTTTCTGACAGCTCCCTCCTGTCCTTCAGTTTCAGCGAGGAAATACTGGGGGTGGGGATGGGGGTGGAGGTGGGTTGGGGCAGGGTGTTCATTTTCTCTAGAGAAATTAGAAGTAGTAAAAGAAGCCTAGTGTGACCCTTGCCACGCTTTCATCCCTGTGCTGCAGAGCTGGCTGTGCTGGAGTTTCTCTCCCAAGCATTATTGTCCCAGAGGAACAGCTCGGGATGAAAAGCTGCAGACACACCCCTGCCTCATGAGCACCCTAACCTCCCTGCCCTCAACCCATCTGGTGCTGCACAGTTCAGCATCTTCTCTAAACATTGTGAAATTCTATTTCAACTCTCTTGTGTTTATTGACATCCTGGAGATCCTCTGAAAGGTGCTGGTGGCACAGCTTTCTTTGGAAATGATTCTTTTGGGTACCACTTAGCTGCTGAGCCTTCTTCTGCATCCTTTTTCCGATGCAGCTGCTGGCCATGTACCTGTGGAACTGTATCCAGAGATTCATTCCCAACCATGATGTTCAGCACTAATCTCTTCTAAGGGCTCTGAGTGTGGGAACACAGAGCCTCCCAGAGCACACACACTTGACATCACATGCCAAGGGATAAACGCATTAGACAGCATTCCTTTCCCATGCGAGCACAGGGCTGGAGCTGTTGGTTCATTCAAAGACCTTTATCCCTCATCAGGCACATCTGTTTTCTCACTCAACATGTGGGGGTGGGATTTTCTCTAATTAAATCCCCCACAAACAAAAATGGAGACACCCCCACAAACAAAAGAGGCTACCACATCAAAAGAAATAGAATTTAATTCTCATTTTTAGCTCATGCCTCTATTTTGAAGTTTGCATTTCCTTGCTTCTGCTGCACTCTGGGAACCCCATAGCATTTGGCAGACAGATATGTTGAAGTCTGGAAAAACTTTCTGTTGAATGCTGTGCATCAGGGATGGTCCTGGAGTCACCTCTGAGCCTCCCTCACTGGCCCCTCTGGAGTGATCCTCTGATTGTTCTCTGCAGTCCTTTTAACCCCCCACACCATCTCCCGGGGAGTTTGCAGTCTCCCAGGAAATTGCTCTTGCCCAGCCAGGCAGGAGTTTCCTAAACAGGTCGTGGTCTGCAGAATATCAAGCACTGACTGCTTTCTGGAGACCCTGCTATGGCTTCTAGGGTGTTGGAAGCTGGGGGTGGCCATTGTTCCCATGGATTTGTGGTGTTGGAGGGTACCTCAGGAGAGGACTGCACAATGCACCAGCTGAAGGATGGGAAGGACTTCGAGCAACCCAGGCTGTTGGTGACCAGGCTTATCTCCCATACTGACCACTGACCTGATTCTTTTCCCAGCCCTCACACTTGGCACAGTATCTCCTGCAGAGTGGGCCCTTAATAATTATCTCCAGAATGAATTACCCCATTGTTTTGAGACAGGGCTGTGCTTATTGATGCGTTTGGTCTTTTCTCTCTGGCCCCCTCCCCCTGCCCCTCAAGGTCCAGTTGCACTGGCCTCATCTATCTTGACACCCTGCTGCTTAGCTGGTGCTTAATAAACGTTAGTTGAATTAATGGGTGTGAGGTGAAAAGGGAAGAAGAGAGGGTGTGTTTGGTGCAAGGGCCAGGTTGAGAGAAAGGGCAAAAAACCTTGCTTTTGGCTGGAGGACTGGAATATTTTTAAGGAAAGGAAGTGCTCATTTCTCTGGCTGTCATCTGCAGTGCTTGAGAAAGATGAGGTGCCTCTGTTCACTCACCAACAGACACAGAGATGCCTACTGTGTGCCGAGATGGGGCAAGGCACTGCAAACACAAAGATAAAAACAATCTGGGGCCCAATCCAGGGGAGTAGGAGAGTGTGGGGGATGGGGCGAGGGAAGTCAATCGGTGATTACAATGGAGTGGATGAGTGCACTGATAGAGAGGGAGCAGGTTGCTATGGGAGCAGAATACAAGAGGCGCTGCACGTCTAGTGCTGAAAAGGTGGTAATTACGGTGTGTGGCGGCTGCCGAGCCAGCCGAAGGGTGTTGGGAAGTGAAGGGAGCCCCCGCCAGAGGCAACAAGGCTGGACTGCAACACAGAGGGCACCTTCTGCCCTGCGGAGAGGTCAGGATTGTATCCCCCAAACCGTGGGGAAGATTTTAAGGGGCTTTGATCAGATTTGCATTTCAGAAAAGCCACTCTGCTGGCGACAGCGTTGAGTTGGGGACCGGCCTGGCAGAGACAGGCCGGAGGATGGTGAGGAAATTGCAGTGGGCCAGGCAAGAAATGATCTGATTCAGAGTGAGCTTTATTTGCATTTAATTTTTCTTCACCTCCTCGTTCTTTTCAGCCCTTTGCTGCTTTTTCTCCCCCTAGGATGAGTCACCGTGGAAAAGCTTCACTTGAGCAATCAGCGCTGTGGATTTTAATGGCTTTTTTCTGATTACAAAATTAATAAATATTCATGTTAGATAATTTGGGAAATAGGGGGAAAGCACAAGAAGAAAACAAAAATCACCCATACTCTGATCACTTAGAGAGGAGTACAATTTAGTATAAATATTGGTTCACCAATTCCTCCTTCTGTATTGGACTATTCTCACCTGCATACAAGTAGTTATTTATCCCATCTTTAAAAACCCTGTCTTGATTCCCCACCTCTTCCCCACTCCAGCCATCATCTCCTTTCTCAACTTGTAGAGCAAAACTGCTGGGAATATTGACTTTATACGTGGTGGTGCTCACCTCAGGCAGACAGTCTGGCTCTCATTCTGCAAAGCTACCCTTGACTGACAATGGCAAGGAAAGGCTGGGTCCAACTGGGTCGTCACCTCCATGCGGTCCTATTCTCCCCAAATCATGTCTCTGTTCTCCCAGGACCCTGCACTGTCCTGGGTTGCCCTAGCTCCCTCTGCTACCTTTTTTTTTTTTAACCAAGGATTGAACTCATGACTGCGTTCCTCTCCTCTTTGCCCGAAGTTCTCCTGCTTCCTCATCCAGATGTGGCACAAACCCCTCCTACCTCCTCATGACTGCCTTATTATCCTGGCTCCAGCCTGCACCACTCCCTGGACTCTAGATTCCTATAGCTGGCTCCCTCCTCATCATTTCCATTGGGGGCCTAGTGGGCCCTCAAACTCCTTAGGTCACCCACCCTCCTCCACAGCCTTCTCTAATTCAGGAAATGGCAGCGCTATCCCTTGCCAGTCACCCAGGCACAGAACTCGGAGTCATTCTGGACTCTTCTCACGCCCACATGCAATCCACCAGCAAATCCCTTGGACCCTCCCCTCAAAATGTATCTCAACACACCAAGCCTGTGTCCGAAAGCCATCTTCTCTAAGGTGTAAGTCCAATCCTGTCACTTCTTTGCCCAAAACCAGCTAGGGCCTCCTCTCTAATTCAGAGTAAAAATTAAAGTCCTTAAAGTAGTCACAGGGCTCCACGTGATCTGTTGCCCATGATGTGGACCATTCTGTCCCTTGCTTGTTCTGCTGCACATGCATGGACCTCCTTGATGTTCCTTGAACTTGCCTAATCCATTACTGCCTCAGGGCCTTTGAACTTGCTGGCCTTCATTCTCAGAGTGCTCTCCCTGCAGTTAATCTGCTTGGCTTATTTGTGCACTTCTGTTAAATGTTTGTTCATGCATCACCACTTCCCCTTATTTTAACTTGTACCACCACTCCTTCCCTAACTCCTTTTTTCTTCCCCTGCTGCGTGCTCCTTGGCATTTCCACATTCTCGAATCCTGTACAATTTACTTCTTTCCCTTGTTGATTTCCTGCCTTCCTCACTAGACTGGGAGCTCCACAAGCTGACAATTTTGTTTGTTGGCTGCATGCCCTATTGCCCGAAGTGTGTGCTCAACACATACTTGTTTGCTGAATGGAAGGGTTTTAAAGCAGAGATGCTGCAGGCTGGTGTGGGTGGGCATTGGCTCTCAAGAGGAGAAGCAGGGGGATTGCGGGAGAAGGCAGGCAAGAAGGGAGGAACTGTGGGCAAGACATTAAGGGAAATGCAGGTCTGGCTGCATCAAGGGAGCAGAGACAAGTCAGTCCTGACTTGGCGCACACCTGTAATCCTAGCACTTGGGAGGCTGGGGCAAAAGGATTGCTGTGAGTTCAAGGCTAGCCTGGGCTACACAGTGAGACCTTGCCTCAAAAAAAGGTGGGGGACAGAGACAAAAGGGGACCCAAGTTGCTAGGTTGGGCCACACAAGGGACAGGTGCTAACTCAGTGCTCAAGTGAGGTGTCTGTCATTAATGGGGCATTTGCCATTCCAGCCCATCAGACTCACTCCCTCTGATGGAGTCCAGATTTCCTCATCTTGCCTTGTAATGGTCCATCACAGCACCCTGGAGCCATCCCGACAGTTAGTCTTGTCCCTGTAGCCATTGTTGGCATTAGTGCCACAGGTGACATTTGTGAGCATTTGCCTCATGCCAGGCAGTATGCCTTCCAATCTACGTGAGAACAACTGAACGTGTGTACTAAAGTCTGTGATGATGTGACAGTCGTTTTATGAGGGAAACTGAGGCATGGGAGATTTAGTAATTTGTCCAAGTCAGTGACAGCCTGTGATGGCCTGGCTCTGGGACCCACACACTCTGCTCTGTGCCATCTTCCTCTCTCCTTGTCGCTTGTGTGTTGTTTTACCTTTGCCTTTCGCAATGAAGCCAGAGGTTTCAGTCTTGAGCTCTGAGGAGCTCCTTCTAACAACTAAAGATCTGTAGCCCCTCTCCCCGAGGGTGCATTGTCATTGCGTCTGCCCATAGAGCAATCATGAGGTGAGGAAGAAAAAGCCAGGCCTGTGCCAGGAGGGAGAAGACATCACCACATTCATATTTGTGGAAGGGGCAGTGCTGAGAGGTCCGGCTTGCCCCAGGCCTCAGCTCCACCTTCAGGCCTATGGCCGCCTCCTCTCTCCTACCCTGGGATATTGTTCTTTACTTAATGGCCCCTCCCCTTGGTTACTCTTGTCATAAATTAATTGGCACCAAAGTATTTCTGTCTGCGTTAGGTTAAGGCTTCCAGGGAGGCAAATGGTTGAGTTTTGGGTTTCTTGTCTTTTTTGCTTTTTTGCTGAGGAGCCTGACAGGGATGTAATTAGGCATCCTGAGCCCCTAGTGAGGCCACATTCTTACCTCCCCTATCCTCTTCCCTTGACTCTGAAAAGAGAGCAGACATCTGTGCAGTGTTCTGTCCAGGATGGATTAGTGTTCCTGGAATTGGGGCCCAGCTGCAGGCCTAAGCATTCCGAGCTCATAAGAAGGCGTCATAACCATTCACAAGTTTGGGAGAGTGTCTGGCGTTATTTGTGTATAGTGCTGACCTCCCATTTGCCTCCAAGCTGTTGTGGAACAAAAGGCGCCCGCTGGGAACTCTTCCTGTGGGTGTCCCTGGCTGTGAGGGAGGAACTGCGTCCTAGTCCTGTCCTCCCAGTTTCTTCTCTCTGCCTTCACCCCGCCTCAGAACCACTCCAGAGCCCAGCAGGTTAGATCCCTGGACCCCGTAACTTCATTCTGATGAGGACAGGGGGGACCAGGCTTGCCTTGGTCCAGCTGCTGTCCCTGCAGCTGTCAGTACAGCTGGGCATCGACCCACAGTAGCAGGCACTTACCAGTCATGGTGGGCTGCTGAGATTTGAGTGGGTTTTCTTGGAAGAAGTCACATTCCTTCTGGTAGAGTGGTACTTGTTGAGCACCTTAGCCTCCCAGAGCGGTACCTGTTGGAGCTGACCAGCGGTGTCTAACTTAACCAGTCACTCCAGCTTTGCCCAAGTGGGAATGCCTTGGCCTCCTCAGTGGCTGGAAAACATTATGATTATAATTGCCTAGGATGAAATCGGTGCTCAAACATAAAACAAAATGAGTCCTACACATTGATTTCCAGTGCCATTTTGAACTCTATGAACTTGAGAGTTATGACCAAAGGGGCTGGGCCCTCAGGGATGCAGGAGTCATGGATCTTCATCTGCAGCACCAAGTGCGGACACCCTCTCTCCCAGGCCCCGGATACGTTAGCTATTAGGGCTTTTGGCTTTGGCATTACTTATACACTTAAGAGTCCTTACTCACTGAAGTAGTAGAAACATTTTCAAACTGAAAAAATAGAGAAAAAAATTTCTCTTAAGTCCTAACCCTCTATATTAATAGGCATTGTTGGCATTTTAGTGTATAAATTGTTGGCATTGTAGTGTCTTTTTTTTAAGCTCAGGGGTACTTGGTTTCATTATTTTAAAAAAACTTTTTAAGTGCAAGAATACTATAGTGGAGTTTTCAGCTGTTGTTAACATTTTGTAGATTTATATCCTCTGTTTCATAAGATGATTAGATGATAGATAGATAGATGGTTAGATAGATAGATGATAGATAGATCTTTGTGTGTATGTTAATATTGTTGGTCTTTATTTTTGATAGCTAGCCTCAAGGAACCCAAGGCGAAGAACTGGAGTTACCTTACTTGTATCACTTGTTAGCTTTGCCATTAAATCATGTCATCTCTCTAATCTCCTCTTTATCTCTAAAACAAGAAGCATTAATCTTTGCTCTGGGATCTGGTCATCTGACCAGATCAAGTGAGATCATAAGTACAAACATGCTTAATAAACCATAAGGCTCTGACCCTTAATAAAGCATCCTCCAGACTCTGTTGTGGTCCAGCATTGTAAACAGGGGACATTTGGGGGTTAATGAGGGACCAACATCCTCTGTAGTATTTCCCACACTGGACAATCAGTGCTGAATCCTGAGGCACCTTAGCTCTGGGTGCCAAGATCAGTGTATAATCTTGGGTGGAGGACACTTGCCCAATTCACTGTGACCCAAGCTAGGAAAGTATCCAGGATGATGTGAGCAGTTCCTATGGACAGCAGGAAGTGCATGTGAGAGCTGAGTGCTGACACCAAACTGGCACACAGGATACTGCATTTGGTCCCCTCATATCTGTGTTAGAAGGCAGCTGACTTGGCATATGATAGACCATTGGCATATTAATCATGACCAAGACTGGGTTTGTGCATACTTGCCTTTCCAAATGGCTTGGATACCAATTGTCTAGGCTACTGTCTAAGGGGTAGGTGGAATTGATGTTGGGGGTCAGAGAAACTCTCCTCTCCCCAGGAGATCAGTACCCATGGTTCAGTCTGGGTCCAGAGTCAACAGAATGTTAATGAATATTGACAGTAGATAAGAGCATCCTTTCCAAAATGTCCTCATACCCATTATTACATCCTATCCTATGAGGTAACAAGATGGATATTGCTGCCCCAAATTTCAAGCTGGGGAAATGAATCCAACAGCCAGCTCTACAGTGAGTTGGTGGCAGAGAAATTCCTTATTGTGTGCTTAGTTGAAAAATGGCACAGTGAATGCCAGTCAGCCGGTGGAGTTGTCCCTGGCAGCAGTCTTCCATTGTGTGGCGCATTCTCACAGTGGGTTGGTTCCCTGGGTCAATGCTATCTATAAGGACAACCATCCAAGGCTGGGGCCACAGGCAAGCCAGCCCAGCCCTTATCTGCCTTCTGATGCATGTTCCCATCTCTTAGGTGCTGCTGGATGCGGAAAGAGAAGCCATGGCGAAGGCTCGCCGGCTGGAGCGCAGCGCCAGTAGCTTCAGCTACTCCTCTTACCACACCTTGGAGGAGGTAGGCCTGTCTGGGTCAAGCTCCATGCTCTCTCATGCTGCTGGGTCCCTTAGTCTCCAAACACCGGCAGAGACCAGTGGAGGTCGGTGGGAGGCTATGAACTCAGGGAGACATTAGATGGTCTGCTAAGCCCTCAGTTCAAAGCACACAGACAGAGGGGACTTTGGTTCAGCAGTACAGCCCTGGGTGGTGTGGGGCAAAGAGTCTCCTGGGCCAAATCTAACTACTGGGAGAGATCTGTGATGGCCAGAACAGGGTCAGCAAGGCTGCCCTGATAGCCTGTTCTCTGGCCTGGGATCCACTAACTTCTCTGTGAGCTGTCTTGGTGTTTGGTGTCCGTAGTTGTAGGTGGTTGATGATCTAAGGGACAGAAAGCCAGATATATTAGAGAGTCAGAGTTGCCTTTACTTAGAGAAAATTCATGATCACAGTGACAGCTATGGCAGATGTGATGGGTGGTGGCTTGTTTATAAAGGACAGTGGGCAGGAGAACAGAAAGGAGGGTACAGAGATGACAAGTTCTGAAGGAGACTCAAGGCACAAGTCTCATATTATGTTAAGGACATAACATTGTCTGTATTGTCCCTCTGTTATTATCATCACTTGCCCATTTTACAAGGCTTGTATTATATGATCCATCTTTTTTTTTATATTTCTTAATTATGTGTATTGAAAGGACGAAAGGGTGAATTAAAGAGGTCTAATAACCGATGCCAGAGGTCAATAAAACATGAATCCTGCCTTCAAGTGGCTTAGAGTCTAAAAGGGATTAAAAAAATTTTTTTAAACATTGAAAAAAAGTTTTTTAAAACATTGAGATCTGTCAAATGGCCTAAAAGGGCCAAAGAATGAAGACAAGGGAGAATTTCCAACCACAGAGAGCTACTGGTCCTGGCTGGGGACTAGAGAAGACTTAGTGTCTGCTCATCTCCTAGGCAGCAGTGTGGTTCTACACAGGGGAGGGCCTGGTAACGGCCGGTCATGCTCACTGCCCTGAGCTCTGAGGGCGTCTTTTTTTTTTTGTCTGTTTTTGAGACAGTGTCTCACCATGCAGTTTAGGATGGCGTTAGGCTCACTTTGTAGCCCAGGCTGGTCTCCAACTTGCAACGATCCTCCTGCCTCAGCCGCCTGAGTGCTGGGATTACAGGAGTGCACCACCACACCTGGCTTGAGGGCATCTTCAAGTTTTGCAATTCTTGATTGATTCAAGCCATAAAGAGGGTGGGTGGGGGTAAGGGAGGAGAATATTCAGAGGCATCTTGGGGTTCACCTGTTTCCTTGTTTACAAGCCAGTCTGATGGATTTCATTCCTTTTAGATCTACAGCTGGATTGACAACTTTGTAACTGAGCATTCAGACATTGTCTCCAAAATTCACATTGGAAACAGCTTTGAAAACCGCTCCATTCTTATTCTGAAGGTAAAAGCTCGGGGACAGCCAAGAAACTATAGTGACAACCTGTGGCTGAGGTTGGGCTCACAGGGCAGAGGTGGGTGGGAGTTTTGAGGAGGAGGAGGATGTATATACCCCTGACCTCAGGTGACTCATGAACTTTGAGATGTGACATTGAAGGAACCACCATTACAGTAGGGGACAGGTGACAGTGTGGTGACCAGGCAGGAAGTAGTGGGAGGGTTGCTAAGGAGTTGCAGTTATACAATGGCACTTGTCACCCTGAACTGGGGTGTGAGTCTGGGTGAGTCAGTGTTCTTTCTGCTGCCTCGGTTGCTTCTTCTTGTAAATGGCACAGAGAAGGTTCATCTAGGTACGTACATAGAGAGTTCATCTGATGATGACTGACATCATCTGGTTTGGGGAGCCCAATAGATAGGCCTGAGTCTCTGGACAAACCTCTCAGCCTTTGACAAGAGCCCCTAACACAGCACTTGAGTAAACCTGGCCACTGTAGGGCCCTTGGCATGAAGGAAGCAGGATGGATAAAATGCAGAGGCCACCAGAAAGCTGTTCTTATTAAGTGCCTTAAAAGTTACCTTGGGCCCTGTAGGGCACTAGACATCAGATGTCAGGAAAGATAAACCCTGATACCCTTAACCATGCTCAGTGTGATGTCCCTGAATAGACTCATGGCCTTTGTCTAACTTGGCCTTTGGCTTCCCCTGTTTCTGCTGCCATCCCCCCCGTACCAAGTGCTGTTGTAGTGTTGTCTAAGACCTTCCTGCTCAAAGTGTGGCCCTTGCACAAAGCATCTGTGTCCCTTGGGAGGGTGCATGTTAGAAATGCCAATGCTCAGAATCCTCACCAGCCCCACTGAATCAGAATCTGCACTTTAGTGAGATTCCCAGGGCATTCACATGCCCATTAAAGTTCAAAGAGCTCTAGTGTTAAGATGTCCTCAGTCCCCTGGGAAATTCTGTGCCTCCTGCTTGATCCTGCTTTGCCCTCTGAGAGCAGCACATAGGACAAAGGCCCCCAACACAAACATTTGCTGGGTGCATGCACAGGTGCCTGTGTACCCCCACTCCATGGGCCAAGCACTTCTAGCACATGGGGCCATCCCCTGCAGTATTCATGCATCTAGGGCCTCCTTCCAGGGAGCCCCAGCATGAGCACCATGATGTCTCTGGTCAAACCTCCCTTGTTTTTCCTCCCAGTTCAGCACTGGAGGCTCGAATCGTCCAGCCATCTGGATCGACACTGGGATTCACTCCCGGGAGTGGATCACTCATGCCACTGGCATCTGGACTGCCAGGAAGGTCAGCAGGGCCTTGTGGCCAAGGGAAAGCCATTGATGGGGGCTAAAAAGGGTGGGGGTGTTTGAGTAGTTAAGGATACCTCCATAAATTGAAAAATTTAACCTCATTCTCTCAAATTCAGGGTGCTCTATCCCCTCCTGCCCTGTGGAAAAGCTACCAGGTGCTCTTTGCAGCAGAGAGCTCTTGTCTATTCTCTGCCTTCAAGTTGCTTAAAATCAAAGCCTCTGATTTTGGATGGCCCAGTGCTGTCTCTTCCTGCAGCCACTGGCTGTGCAAATGTCCTGCTCTACCTCTGAGGAAATCCTAGCAGGGCCTCCCATCTCTCAAGCTTTCTTGCAGATTGTCAGCGCGTATGGCAAAGACAGCATCCTGACAGACATATTGAATACCATGGACATCTTCATAGATCTTGTCACCAACCCTGATGGGTTCGCTTTTACTCATAGCATGGTGAGGACACATGGGGAGCTTGGGAATCAGGAGTCAGTTCTGTGGAGGCAGAGAAAGTTCCCCCAGGCTCTGGAGCTGACTCCTTTGAGGGCTTTGCTGGGGGAAGGAGGGTTGCTTAGTACTGTAGCTATGACCTCTTGCCCTCCAGCCCCTGTCTACTGCCCAGCAAAGGCCACCATTGGCAGCCTGTTTGGGGGCCTCTCCCTAAACTTTGACTTCAACCACAGCATATCTGACCTGTAGCCTTGGCCCAGCCCCATCCTGTCCTGGGGATTTTTCCCTCTGCTCCTCCCTGCCCCACCAGACCCCTCTTCGTCAACCAGGATGGCAGCACTCCCATGCCCAGGGAAGTGGGCCCAGTGAATGAGGTCACCTGACCTGGGCTTTCTCAGAACCGCTTGTGGCGGAAGAACAAGTCCAGCAGACCAGGAACCTCCTGCACTGGCGTGGATCTCAACCGGAACTGGAAATCAGGCTTTGGAGGTACGTGAGCTGCGGTCCTAGGCAGGCTCTCCCACACTGTTAGGTTGGGTTGACTCATAACTTGGGAGGCAGGGACAATACTGTGAGATAATGTGTGTGTTTCATGGCCAGGGGAAGGCATGTATGTGCCTGGGATGGGCCCTGGGCTATGGCAGGGGTTGCACGTGTGTGTCAAATATATACATATACAAGCTTTCATGGGACTGTTAAGGGGGCTCTCAGCTCCTGAGGACAACTGCAAGCACTGAATCCTAACCTAAGCAGGAGATACAAGGTAGGCTTACCAGTTATTCAAAACCCAGAGGCTGAGGGTTTCATGACACATCTGAAATGTCCCTAACCCTTTCCTGAGGAGAGCACAACCCAAGAAAATATCTCTGGACTTATTCCCTGAAAGCTCTGATCTGAAACTTACCCTATGGGAAGATCAAAGTAATAGTTCCAATATGGAAGGAGCCAGATTCTTGCCACTGGAGCTGGCTGAAACCTGACGTTGATTTTTGGCCAGTTTCTTTGTGACCACGGGCCAGTGCACTGCCAGGCTGCTACGTATCTGCAGGGCTGTATGAATCCATTGCTGGGCTGGTGTGAGCTTGCTCCTGGGTGCCTGCTAGTCTTCTTTGAGTCTGTCCCTCACCATGCCATGGGCCAGGGGATTAGTTGAGAAAACTGAGCACCCCCCTCAAAGCACAGAGACAGTACATGGACCCCAGGAGTGTAACAGCTGGACAGAATGTAACAGCCAAGGCAGAGTCACCAGAATACACATACTACCCTCTGCTTCCAGATGTGGTGTCCACACGGCATGGAGGTGGGTGGGGGAGTTCAGTCCCAAAGGGGACAGTGCCATTGCAAGCAAATCCGTAAGAGGGTGGTCAGACTCATGGCAGAGAACAGTGTGACCTGGGTGCTGACGGCTCTGAAAACCTGGCTTCTGAGGTCTGCTCTCATTGAAAACTAAGAACCGTTGAAGAGCTTTGGAACTGAGGCCCCCTCAGCCCGCAGAGTGAGGGGTGTCTGGGGGTCTGGGCTCTGTGTGTCGCCTATGCTGTAAAGGAGTAGGACTGTCAAATTAGGCATTTCACCTCCACATGACCAGAAGTTTGCTCTGGGTGGGCATACAGGTGACCCCACAGCACCCACTGCTGTCAGTGTCCACAGGCCCTCAGACATCCCGGCTTGGAGAAAGACAAATTACCTCTAAAAGAAAATAACTTTTGTGGGTTTCTCCACAGGGAAAAAAGATCCCTGTATATATACAATATAAAAAACAATTATGGAAAAAAAAAAAGCCCAGAGGGGCCAAAAAGCTCCCATAATCCCACTACCCAAAGATTACTGCTTTTAATAATTTACCATGTCCTTCCAGAGAGTTCCCTTTGCTACAAATTACATTTTTAGAGAAGGAAAAATAAATAGCTAATGAATCCATTAGCAGGTACTTGTGAAACAGGCAGGCTCAGAGGACCTTTACTGAACGTCAGAGAGGCAGGCAGCTAATTCCCATTTGGTCAGGGGAAGATTAGTTTTTTTCTGCTTAGCTCAAACCAGAACTAATGGCCTGAAGTGTTTCTCCATATTTGGGCAAAGCCACCTGGTTGTTGGCAGGGGAATTGCTTTCCTGCGTGGGTTGCAAACGCAGACAAAGCTCTCAGCCTCCCTGCTTGCTCGGCTCATCTGTTGCTATTTGTCATTCATCAGGGGAAGCAGGTGCAGGAACTCAGGGCAGACACAACAACCAGGGCCACTGTTAGCCAGGACCACACCAGCTTGGGGGGCTGCCCCTCACTCTCTTGTTCTTGGCAGGCTTGTCCCCTTCTAATCAGAGTCCCCCCAGCACGGGTGTGGACAGCCAACCAAGAGGGGGTCTCTCAGGTGACAGGATGGCCTCTGGGCTGGTGACTCAGGTGGGAATATTTAGTTTATAGCATTATTATTGCCCTCGTTTAATAGCTGTGTTAGCAGCAGTCTGGAGATCTTGTTTCCCACCATGCCTGCCCTCATCTGCCTTCAAGAAGACCAATCTGCTGCATTGCCCAGCCTCACCTGAACTGGTCATTGGGCTGGTCTGCTGGCAAGGGGCAAAACGGTTGCTCTGGTATCACCAGGTGGCTTCAGAACCTGGGGGTATCCCTACGCTCTGACCTGGGCTTAGGTGCAGGTGTTTCAGAGGGGGCGGGGGGAGAGGGGCTGGGATACATTCTTCCCCTTGTGCCCATAATCTTGACCAGCTCTGACCAGCCCTCTACAACATGGTCCTTGGAGCAGGAGCAGAGCATAAGAAGAGTGGAAGAGAAGGAAGGAAATGAAGAGAACATGGGAACAAATTAAACTTGTCAAAAACTAGAAGCACATTTTCTCTTAGCTCTGTCCTCCACATAGGCCCCAAAAAGAATTTTCAAAGACCTCTTGCATTTGTGGTTCTCAACAACCTTCAGGCAACTATGGAGATGTTATCTGTCCTTCCCTGGCCCCCAAATCCATGGAGCTCCTGTGACCACAGCTGGGGCAAAGCTCAAACAGACACTCTCTGAGCATTTTGCAGTGAACTCAAGAAGGTTCGGTCAAAGGCACTGCTGCTAAGGGGCGGCTAGAATTGGGACATAGACCTCTAGTGCTCATGAATATAGCTTCTGAGGCAGGCCTGACTTTCCAGGGAATCCCAGATAGGATGTATCCAAACGAAGACCCCAGAGGGCTCCTTGCTGGGCCATAGAGTTGCTGAATGTCTTAGTTATTTTCTCTCATTGCTGAGACAAAATATGTGACACCCAGAGTTAAAGGGGGAAAGGTTTATTTAGCTCACAGATTGTAGAGGTTTCAGTTCATAATTGGATAGCTCCAAGGTAGGGTGACTGGGCAGAGGGCCATCACAGAAGAGAACGGTTCATGGCACCCACAAGACAGCAAAAGCAACAAGGGAAGCACAAGCCTCTTTCTGTCCCTTGTATCGTATGCAGACTATCTGCCCCAGGGTAGATATAGCACTCATTACCTTAGTGCTAGCCAGAACTATGTCAAGCAAATCAGTGGACTGATTTACTAGCCACATATCCTTAATCCCACCACCATACAGCTACCTCTGAAAAGCCTTCCCCTTCCATGACTACATGAGGCTTGCTGGGGTGGGGGCATCTAGACACAAACCATAACACTGGGTCACAGTGTTGTGTGTCTCTGATGTATGAGATGTGGGTGTGCAGCAGTAACAAATATCCTTCCAAATCTCAATGGCTAAATATAACAAAAGTTTATTTTATATGCATACAAAACCCAGTGTGGGCAGGTGAATCTCCTTGGCAACTCTCTTCTAGTGGTGACAGAGGGGCCTGGGATGCTACTTTTATCTAAAATAGTTTGCTTCCCCACCAGACAAACTGATTGGAGTGTAAAGTTATTCTTGTTCATGGACTCAATCCAGAAATGTTATATCATTTCCACTCATTTTCATTGGTCAGAAATTGTCACATGACCTCAACCACACTGCAAAAGAAGGCTGGGAAACATCAGGGGCTATATGGATATTTTGAGAGGACTATCTCTGCCACATCTGGGAATTCCAACCCTTTGAGTGGTTTTATTTTACTTCCAGGAAATGGTTCTAACAGCAACCCCTGTTCAGAGACTTACCATGGGCCTTCACCTCAGTCAGAGCCAGAGGTGGCTGCCATTGTGGACTTTATCACAGGCCATGGGAACTTCAAAGCTCTGATCTCCATCCACAGCTACTCTCAGATGCTCATGTATCCATATGGCCACTCTATGGAACCTGTTTCAAGCCAAAAGGAACTGGTAATATTGGCTGCCTAGGGATTGGGGGAAGAGACCTTTTCCCAGGAAAATCTGTATCTGACCCATTTCCAGAGAGTTCAGGCTCTCATTCCTTAAAATGAGGGTCTGACTGCTAGACCCCATACTTGGGAGGATAGGAAACCTGTTTTTCTCTGAGATCAAATTCAAGGCTAGAGGTGCTATGTTCCCTTCCCAGAAGAGCTGTCTGCACCATCAACTTCTGGGACTAAGTCTACTTCTCACCAGCTGCCGAGGGTGCAGGGGGTGTGGGAACTCCTGTAAGCCCCTGTCAGTCCCTCTCCGCTGTTGTCTTACAGTACAGGCTTGCCAAGAAAGCAGTGAAGGCTCTGTACAAGGTGCATGGGATCAACTACATTTTTGGCAGCATCAGCAATACCCTCTGTGAGTAAGCCTCCTTGATTACTGCCCCAGATGCCACATCTACCTGGGCTCAGGCAGGTGCAGCTTACTGGCAGCCTGGCCAGCCAGATAGCAGTGCCACAAGCCTATCTGGGCTGGGCCAAAGCTGCCTGTTAAATTTAGAGAGCAGAGTGGATGATGGCTCCCAGGCAGCCTCTCCTTGGTGTGTCAATGCACAGCTCTGGAAGCCTAGCTTACTGCAGGGCTCCTTGCTAGAAAAGAGCATCAGCCTGGTGGCCTCTGGGGCTTTCGGTCTGCAAGAGAAGGGGTGGGCTAGGTGGGTAGGGTGTGTCCCAGGATGAAACCTGGGCCAGGAATGTAATAGGGTCTGGGCTGGGTGGGAGTTTGGCTCCAGGGTTCACTTTCCCAGTGTGATGCCCCTGAACTCTGTGATCTCATACCCTCCTTCCTTTGGGGGAATTTTTGGGGTTCTTTTGTTTCTAGATGTGGCCAGTGGAGTCACCGTGGACTGGGCCTATGACAGTGGCATCAAGTATGCCTTTACCTTCGAGCTCCGGGACACAGGGCGCTATGGCTTCCTGCTGCCAGCTACACAGATCATCCCCACAGCCCAGGAGACATGGATGGCGATACGGACCATAATGCAACATACCCTGAATCACCCCTACTAGTAACACTACTGAATGCAGAGCAGGCAAACCCTCCTCCTCCACAAGGCCCAGGCCTCCCCCTAAAACTCAGGTTATATATCCCTTCCCCATACCCATTCCCAGACCGTGGAGAAATAAATGCAAGCTTGAACAGGCTTTGTTGCTGCTGGTGGCACTCTTGTGGGTTCAGTACTGAAGAAGATACAGAGGGTCACTGCATCCATCGCCAGAGGCAGCTTGACGTGCTCAGGGACTCTCTTCACACTTCCCATTTCCTACCTTCAGGAAAGTGAGGGGCCCGCAGGCCTCACCATCTTCAGGGTTCTTAGAGCCAGAGTAGATATGTCACCCCTGGACAGCTACTCAAAGACACACTGTCCCAGGAGTACTGACATTTAAAATGACCCTGCAGGGGACAGTGTTTGATGGAAATGAGGAGATCCCTGATAGAAGCATTTCTGGACTCTTGAGAGAAAGGTAGGTCCAGACAGACAGCCCCTACCTCTGCCTGCCTCATTTCCCTTGCTGGGGAGCTGGTAGGAGCACAGTTCAGAGGTGCCCACTCAGCAGACTGCACTAATCCGAGAACTCAAGATGAACAAGACACTGCTTTGGGACCATCTAGCACCTACTCCAGTCAGGCCATAGGTAAATAGACATGTTCTCTTTAAGATATAAAGAGGTGCTAGCAAAAGAACAAAGCAGAGAGATAACCCATTGAGTGGAAAAAATTTTTTGCTAGCTGTTCCTCAGAAAAATGACTAATATCTAAGATATGTAAAGAATGCAAAAAGAAGAAGAAGAAGAAGAAGAAGAAGAAGAAGAAGAAGAAGAAGAAGAAGAAAAATCTTCCAAAACTCCCAAATTTAAAGACCCACAGCAGCACAGTTTGTAATAGCAATCTTGGAAACAGCTCAAATGCCCATCAACAGATGCATGCATAAAGAAAAATTTTTATACAATGGAGTATTAGTCTTCCATAAAGAAGGATAAGCTTGAGACATTTCTAAACAGATCACCTTGAGACCGTACTCTTAAGTGAAATAAATCAGACACAAATTTTTAAATATCCTATGTTTTCTCTGATATGAGAAGCCAAAAGGGTAAATAAGGGCCAAAATGTGTAATAGATATTGAGAAAAAGGGAGAAATGTTCAAATGGGAAGGGAATAAGGAGTAGAGGAGGGGGAAAGGAAGGAAGAGAAAAGGAAAAAGAAATAGATGGAAGCAAAGCTTTTGTAAATAAAGAGGGGAAGAAGGATTGAAGGGAGGAGAGAGGGTCACAGAAAAAAGAATCAAGATGTATTATGTACGGGTACAAATTCCCCTTGATGAATGTGATCATTATGCATAGATCTAAAGTGTACCAGTAAAATTAATTAAACAAAAAAGAGTTAAAGGGGTGCTATTCTGAGATGCTAATGCAGGGGTGGAGGGTTTGCCTTCTCTGTCCCCAGGAAAGCCAGACAGCTCCCTGAATCAAGACATCAACTGAGGAGCTGAGTGGCTTTGGTTTGCAAGAGCCAGGCTCGGGTGTGTGTGTGTGTGTGTGTGTGTGTGTGTGTGTGTGTGTGAGAGAGAGAGAGAGAGAGAGAGAGAGAGAGAGAGATCGGATTGTGGATTCCCATCACAATTTCCAAGAGGATCCAGAGACAGGGAAGAAAGCAGAACGAGGTAGGAGGAGGCTCCCTTTCTATCTAGCCTGTAAAGAGAGAAGCTGTTGGGTCAGTTGGTGGAAGGAAGTGGCCCGAGATGACCAAACCCCAGGCAAGCTGCATATCCACCATGGTATCCTCACAGCGAATTAAATGGCCGAGGAAAGAGACCCAGCAGGTGTTTGAGGCAGCCTTGTGGCTGGGCGCAGCACAGCAGTGCAGGTGTTGAGAGCGCCCAGCAAATACACAAGGGACTTGGCAGGTGAGGAGGCTTTAAGTAGAGGCAAGAAGGTCAGCCCTGGGGCAATGCAGCCAGCACCTTGCACTGTGGCCATCCCTGGGCATGTGAATGCTAGGGCCAGCTGTGCTTGTGAAAGCCCCTGAAGAGCCTGGATCATCTGCAGAGTTCCCATTCCGGTTACCATTTCCCTAAGAGATATATAGATAGATAGGTTGGATAGATAGATTAGATAGATATGTTAGATATCTGTCTTTAAAACTAGAAGCCATCTGAGGGAGCCATGTTGGAATTTCTAGCTTGAACTTTTTCTGCTGTTAGTGGAAATACAAGGCCATGGGCTGTGTTAAGATAAGCTATAGATAAAGTGAGTACTTTTGCACACGAGTCTGAACTTTTATGTCCTGTACACAAGTATTTTTATTTAACTCATTGGAGGATATTACTAATATTAATAAGCTCATTTTTCAGATAAAAAAGCAGGGTCTTAATGCATTTCAAATACTATACAAAACCACACAGGTAGAAATTGAGTGAGATTTGTGTCTGGGTTTGTCTAACACTGAAACCACTATATAACCACCTGTGCAAGCGTGGCCTACAGTCCATCTGTAGCAGTGTCCATGGAGACTTGTTTATAGGATGGTTTTGGGGTTTTAGCCCCAAAATGAACCAGATCTTTGGCAGAGTTGGGGGTAGATTATTCTCCCGCTAAACTGGAGAAGCACCAGCCTAGAGGCATGAGTATTTGGGCTTTGGTGGGCTTCCTAGTGTCTGTAAACACAGCTCTTTCCTAGCGCTGTCTGTGTGCCAAGGTGTTTCCGAGTACACTATGAAGCCCGTTGCATTGCCTCCTCCCAGCTCTATGAGCTAAGACTACTGCTGTGTCCTGATTTTCAATGGGGTGGTGCAGGCTGAGAGAGGATGAAGGCCAGAGGGCACACAGTTACGGAGCAGAGAAAATGATGCAATCCAGAGACACTGTGAACACAGGTGTGTGAGGCTGCTTCCGGCATAACACAGTGCAATGTTCCACAGTAAACATCTTTTTTAATAAGTAGCAGTGGTGTTTCCTAAAATAACATTGAAAACTCTAGTGCAGTAAATCCAGACATTAGTAACATAATCATTTACTATCATTACCAAGTACTATACACCATACATAATTGCCTATGCTGTACTTTTATACAACTAGCAGTGCAGTAATTTGTTTACACCAGCACCAAATGTGAATATGTTATGCTACAATGACTTTGTGGTGGCTACAGTGTCACTAGGTGATAGAAAATAGATAGACCTATTATTTTCTTGTGGGACCACCTTCACTGGTGGTTAACTAGAAGGTCATGATTATTTTGACCCTCTAGTTGCAAAACAGTCGCTCTTCTTCCATTTTATGATTGAATTCTAGGCAGTCAGGAAGAACAAGAGGCAAAAACATGACCTAGCTGAGTTGTCTAATTCATGGACTTAATCTGACTCTCAATTAATCAATCATCTTTTTCCTGTATTGCAGATTGAACCCAGGACCTTCTCATTATATCCTTAGCCCTTATTTAAATTTTCACATTTTGAGACGGGGTCTTGTTAAGTCACTAAGTTATCCAGATTTGGCTTGAACTGGTGATTCTCCTGCTTCAGCCTCCCAGAGTGCTGAGATGACAGTGTACATCACCATGCTTAGCTTAAATTTATATTTTATGGGCTGTAATTGCATCAGATACACACATTCAGTTGCAAGAGAGGCTGGGAATTTCTCTACAGCAACTCTGGGGCATATTGCTGCCTCATATAAAAGTGGGATTGTGTGGATAAAGAGGAAGGGAAGAGTGAACCAACAGAGTCTATGGCCGCTTCCCTGAAAAGCAAGGAATCATGAGCAAAGGGGCCTCAGCACCAGTTTCTCGCTTTAGTTAATCATAAGGCCATAGAACTTTCCAGATGTTTGAGTCCAGCTCCCTGTGGCTTGCAGATCCTGAGACTTACATGAAGCCCATGTGACCTACCAGCTGAGAGACCATGGAAGCCAGAGGTCGCCACACCAGTATCCGCAGGCCGCTGCTCCCCCAGGCCCGAGGGCCTCCACCAGGTCTCCTCAACACGATGCAGGAAAGGATGGCTGGGGATTCAGTACAGCCAGCAACAGCTAGTCAAGCTGCAGCAAGGGTCAGGGAATTTACCGAGGAATCTTCTCTTTTCCTAATATTTGAAATGTTTTTTTTTTCCTATTAAGTACATAATGTGGAACTTTTTTCTACATTCTGCTTTGCACACCCTCCCCCTCCTTTTATTTCCAACAATCTGCTCTTTTTAGGTATGTTTTTCATCCTTTTCACCAGTAAAATTTATGAGCATTTATTTAAAAGAAAAAATAGTTGGAAAAACTGAAGAGAGAAAGAGCGATTGCACATATGGAAAGCCATAAAGAGCCACAGTGAATGCGCTGTGGTTACTGCTTTCCTAAGAAAACAAGGCGGCCACGCCCTGCTTGAGGCGGCTGAGCTGAGGCCCAGGGTGGCAGCTAAAGGCGGCCCTCCAGGAGTCTGCAGAGGGGCTGCCGGCTTCTCCCAGCCTCCTCTGCCCCACCCCCCACCATTCCAGTGAGAGAAAGGGTCACAGAGAAAATGACTTTACCTAAGAGTATTAAATTAACACTTAAACGTTTCCTTTAGAAAGACAAGAAGGCCTAGGCATGGAGCAGGCCATCAGAGGATCCAGCACGCACAGCGCCTGTATAGGCTATGTGTGCTTTAGAGGAGGACTGGCTGGACCGACATGTTGTCAGGAGAGAACAAGAGGCCATGCAAGAGGCCACCCAGTGGGACGGATCTACAGGACATGTAATCATTTCCAAGCGTGTTTCCAAATACCAGGGGTCCAAGAACCTTGTAGGTCCAGTGGCCACCTGGATTTGTCCTATGTGACACTACCCCCGCCTCCCCGAAAGATTATTTCTTGAGGTCATTTGTTGATATTTGACAGCTAGGCCTATCTACTGCCAGGAAATTTCCTGGGCTGCAGCCCTGGGTCCGTCTACTGTCCCTGTTTGATGTGGACCCTGAACACAGTGGCCACACTACTGCCCTCCTCCTGCCTTGTCCCTGTTTGGCCTGCCTAGGTGGAACAGGGCTGCCTCATCTCAAGCAGAGAGGGTAAAAACTGTGCTTCTCAGGGATGGGGGGTTGTGGGTGGCCTGAAGTACAGCTCCAGCCTGGTGGGTCTTCCGAACTTCTCTGAGTGTCCGAGAGAGTACAATGGTAGCC